AGAGTCTTAAATAACTGCATGGCTTTAGATATCCTGCCTGCAGCCCAAGGCGGCACATGTGCATTAACTAAGACTGAGTCTTGTGTGTGTGCGTGTGTGTGTGTATGTGTATACACACACATATACACCAGATTATTCCCACAGTGTAACCCTAGCTATGAAGGCCTTAAATAACTATATTTCCGCCATAGATGCCTCATCCCAAGGCCTTGTGATGGCATGCTTTAGTCAACTCCCTAGTGTGTGGAAGACTCATCTATAGTATAATTGGCATTCTACTCAGTGTCTTCTTCAGCTGCTATGGATTTTATTGCTGTTGTGCACTCTGTATGGGGATGCAAGACAGACTTTCTCAGCAGCTCTTAGTTCCCCACACCAAAATACTCCAGCAAGTTCCCACTGTTAATCTGGGATTCAAGAATATTTCCAACTCCAGGTATGCAGATTCCATCCTACTACCTCATAATTATGCCTCTTTTTAGCAGGAAGTAGCCAGATTGACTGCATTGACCACTTCCCATAGAAATGGATGGGATTTGACAGTGGGGAGCTGTAACCAAGTAACTTAACTTCAAAAATGCATTTTAGGCTGGGCGTGGTGCTCAGGCCTGTAATCCTAGCACTTTGAGAGGCCTAGGCAGGTGGATCACCTGAGATCAAGAGTTTGAGACCAGCCTGACCAACATGTGAAACCTCATCTCTACTAAAAGTATAAAAACTAGCCGGGTGTGGTGGCAGGGCACCTATAATCCCAGCTACTTGGTAGGCTGAGGCAGGAGAATTACTTGAATCCAGGAGGTGGAGGTTGTAGTGAGCCGAGATCACACCACTGCATTCCAGCCTGGGCAACAGAGCAAAAACTCCGTCTCAAAAAAAAAAAAAAAAAAAAAAAAAAATCAATTTTAAAACCTTTTTCTTTTTTCTCTCTTTTTTTAGTCTCAAGAGATAACCTTGAAGCAAAATGCAGAAATTTTTTCCCCTCCTTAGTCTTAATACATAGCTTTGAAACATACTAAGTCTTTGTTTCCCCCCCCTTTCCCACTGTACACTCCCTTACTTCGCATACATTTATCTGACTGTATGCTTGCATCTAAATATGTGCTTATTTAGAAGTTCTAGGGACTAAGACCTAGGCATGAAAACCCAGCTGCAAAATTCCAGAGATTACCTCAAAGCAGCTAGTCAACAACCTGGCCATTGTGGGAATGATGCCAGCTCATGCTCCAGGTGGACCATGACTCAAGATAGCCACCAGAACAAGATGCGCAGACCTGCACCTAGCACCACTCCCTGCATGCCACCCACTATAAGTTCCCTTTGTAAGCCCCTCTCCCCAGGCTAAAGTTTGAAATGGTTCCTTTAAGGCACAAGCCAGGGCCACTTCCCCAGTGCTAGCTCTGGAGCAAAGTTACTTTCTTTTCACTGCATCTTGTCCTTGTTATTGGTTTTACAAGCAGCCAAGCTGCATTTTGTTATATTTGATTGTTTAAAAACTGCTTTCAAATTCATTACTTCTAAAACTTCTCAAAATGACTCACTGATGTCCTAGAATATATCATAAGGTATGATGCCTTCAGAAGCTATAGAGCTCTTTCTTAGCTTGCTTCTTCAAACATTGGCTCAGGTGGCTTCTCTCTCCCACCTCTCTCTACATTCCTTGAGTCACTGCTTGAATTTAAGTCTTCAATAGATAATGCACACTTGTTGGAAAGAGCTCTGGATGTGGGGGCACACGACAAACAGCTGACTTTCCCTCAGAATCGCTTCTCAAGCCATCCAAATCCAGATGCCCAGAATTGTTTCCTTTATCTCTTCCCTATCATCAAAACACCTAGAGAGCAGGAGGATGCACAGAACCTGCTCTGAGGCAATGAGACAGAGCAAGGATCTGTCTTAGAGGCTAGCAGGGCACCCTCCCCCACCCAGCATGGAAATAAAGGAAAATCTTCAATTTCTTAGCTAGCCTTGAAAAGAAAAAAGAGGAAGAACTAGATAAGCAAGAAGGTAATACTAGCTTAAAACAATAGCCAGGGACGTTAGAATCAGGGGATGTTTGGTTCCCTATAGAAACTAAAAATAACATCTTAACATATGTCCCTAAGTTCTTCAGAAACTCAGATCCCCACCAAACAGATCTGCTGGCCCGTAGACCTCAGATAAGGGGGAAACTGAAGACTAAACTCTGACTATTGTTCTTCTAAATTATTTCGAGTGGCCTGGAGAAAGTCATACCCATGATCCAAAACTAATGTTCTGTTCTGCTGACGCCCTATTCTTAAACAAACTTTCATCTTCTTAACCAATTGCAAATCAGATGATCTTTGAATCTACCTATGACCTGTGAGCCCGTGCTTCAAGATCTTGCCTTACTCAGCCAAACTAATGTATAATCTCCACATACTAATTTACTATTTTGCCTGTAACTTTTGCTTTCCTGAAATTTATTCTTGCCTTTAAAAACCCTTACCTGAAGTCATCAGAGAGGTCAGGTCTTCGGTGTGAGCCACAAGCTTCGCTTTGCTTGTTGCCTTGCAAATAAATTCCCTCCTTTCTCCTGCTACAGACCTTGGTGTGGCTGTTTGATCTTACTGTGCGGGACGATCAGACCCCAGTTCAGTTCCATAGGAACAATCTCCCCCGTGCCCCACAGAATCTATCAGCACATGATTCCCTATTATTCAATGATTGCTTGACATGAGCTGAAGTTTGAAGAAAAGTTCTGGATATAAACGGAATATTCTGACTTTCTAATAGTAGGTGGTCCAGTGACAAATTCAACCAAGGTGGCTCAGGTAGGAGTGGCCTTGTGAATGTTGATATAAAATACATTCAAGGCCAGGTGCAATGAATGGCTCACGCCTGTAATCCCAGCAGTTTGTGAGGCCGAGATGGGCGGATCACTTAAGGTCAGGAGTTCGAGACCAGCCTGGCCAACATGATGAAACCTCACCTCTACCAAAAATACAAAAAACTACCTGGGCATGGGGGTGCCCGCCTGTAGTCCCAGCTGCTTGGGAGGCTGAGGCAGGAGATTTGCTTGAGCCTGGGAAATGGAGGTTGCAGTGAGCCAAGATGGCACCACTGTACTCCAGCCTGGGTGACAGAGGGAGATTCTGTCTCCAAAATGAATGAATAAATAAATAAATAAATATATTCAAGTATCTTAAATTATCCATAAGTTACACCATAGGTTACTGTTACTGAAACAATATTGGTTGCACGTACCAATTTAGGGGGAGTTGGTATGAAAACATGGTGGAAACTCCAGATGTGATATGGAAAGGTCACCCATGGGATGCTCACACAAACTCAGTTAAAGGGCTGGTGGTCTTGACCAGCTTGAGCTGAGTTTAGGGCTGAGTCTTGAGTTCCTGAAAAACAACGAGGTCAACACCTTGTGAACCATACTTCAGAGTCAGATGTGATGTGTAGGAACATTGTAGAAACTATGGCTAGGCTACCTGACATTTTACTAAGGTAGTAAGCACTATAGCGTCAGCAAAGGTTATTGTTAATAAGGACTAAACTCTGATTTTTTTTATCTTGCCCAAATTCCTATCTAACGTGTCTGGGGAGTCATGCCCTACAAATCATAAATTCTCATCAGATGAGTTTTATTTAACCCTATATATCATGTTTTACGTTCCAACCTGACTCGGGCATAACATTACCAGACAAAAAAGAAAAAGTATTTTGCCCCAAAACATGTTTCTTTGCCACATTTTGAAATTGCCCTGCAAAGCTGTTCTTTGTGGGGGGAAATTTGCATCTGTAAAGAATCTCTATTAACATAGGTAGATCTTTTTCTTCCAGACCTTTCCAATCCTAAAGAGATTAACTAAGATCTGAAAGGGAAACATTTGTCATCTATTGTCTCTAAGTGCAGCCACTATAAGACTTCAAAAGAATTGGTCTCCACAATCTTTATTTTAACCTGAACATTCCCTTTCTATCAATCCCAGGTCTTTAGACAAAACTAGTTGTCAATCAGAAAATGTTTAAATTCACCTATAGCCTGAAGCACCCCCCCAACTCCCCACCAGCTTTGAGTTGTCCTGCCTTGCTGGACCAAACCAATGTATTTCTTAAATGTATATGATGTTTCACGCCTCTCTAAAATGTATAAAACCAGCTGCGCTCCAACCACCTTGGGCACATGTTCTCAGGACCTCCTGAGAACTGTGTTATAGGCCATGGTCACTCATATTTGGCTCAGAATAAATTTCTCCAAATATTTTACAGAGTTTGACTCTTTTTTTTGTTTTGTTTTTTTCAGACAGTGTTTTGCTCCTGTTGCCCAGGCTGGAGTGCAATGGCGTGATCTCGGCTCACTGCAACCTCTGCCTCCCAGGTTCAAGCGATTCTCCTGCCTCAGCCTCCCAAGTAGCTGGGATTTCAGGTGCCCACCACCATGCCCAGCTAATTTTTGTATTTTTAGTAGAGATGGGGTTTCACCACGTCAGCCAGGCTGGTCTTGAACTCCTGACCTCAAGTGATCCTCCTGCTTTGGCCTCCCAAAGTGCTGGGATTACAGGCGTGAGCCACCACACCCAGCCGATTCTTTTCATCAACAATAACAAACTGCCTAGTAAAACTTCAGATACTGGCTACCTAATCATAACTATCTGGCCATCAGTTTCACTAGATACTCTTTCACCTCTCAATGAAAGTCCCACAGTTCACAATGTTATAAGTGGCTTTCCTCAGAGAAGTTTCTGCATAATATAACATAACCCTCCAGGGACTTCCCAGAACTTTGTCAAAAATTCAGAGCAGAAGCCAGGTCTCTTGTTGTCTACTGATAGCACCAGATAACCCCTTTCTGGGGTCACCTCACTCTAGGGTCTTGCACTTCTTTTGTGCCCCGGAGTCAGTCTTTGATGTTTGCAGCCTTTGCTTGAGGCCACTGTCTGAATGAATTCACATGTTCCAGATGAGAAGATACAGGTACAGGTTTACATAATAAGGCTGTTCTCCATCACCCCTTTCACTACCAATCAGCTGGAGCGCTGCAGCTCCCCATGCTATTCCTTTCTCCACTGCTGCAGATTTCCAGGGCTCTGAGAAAAGGAGGAGGACCCAGATTCTGCTTTTCAGATCCACGCGCTGATCCCCACTACAACCAGTGACCTGAACTTGGAGTCTGAGTAGGGTAAGAAGGGCTCTGCTGAGGGTGCTCGGGGAACAGCCAGGAGCACTGGAAGGAGGCTGATTGAACTTTTAGATAGCAAAAAATGGAGAAGGATCCAAATCATGGAAAACAAAGGCCTGAATTCTGGTCAGCCTCAGTCCCACTGATACAAGCTTTTCCCTGCCCCTCCCTCCCTTCACCCCCAGTCTTCTCAAACACAATGCATTAAAACCACTTGCATTCTGCTCTTCTATCCTCTTCAGGTCTTTATCATCAGGACAGGGTTCCACAGATAGGAAGTACCCACCCTTTATTCTGTGTCTGATGTGGACATTTGACGTCATTAGAAGTGCTCTCAAATACATGCGTCTCATTAGACTCTCGCAGTTCTGTAGGGAACTATTATTAAATCCATCTGAGGACACCAATGCTTAGAGTTGTGAATCAGGTTAGAGACTCAGTAGGGCAGGAACACTTCTCATGATAAATGAGGACAGAGCACTGGTTTAAAGGGCAGACTCTTTCAAAAAGACCCCCACACTCCATGCTATCACCAGAGAAGCCACTGTGAGGGCCCTTTTAGTTTTGGTACTTGATTGATTACAGGAATATTTCAAATCTGGAATTCTGGTTGGGAAACCAAGGCAGGTAGATCACTTGAGGCCAGGATTTCGAGACTAGCCTGGCCAACATGGTGAAACTGTCTTTACTAAAAAAATACAAAAATTAGCTGGGTGTGGTGGTGGGCACCTTGTAATCTCAGCTACGCGGGAAGCTGAGACAGAAAATCTGTTGAACCCTGGAGGCAGAGGTTGCAATGAGCCAAGACTGTGCCACTGCACTCCAACCTGGGTGACACAGTGAGACTCTGTCTCAAAAACAAACAAACAAACAAACAAAACCTCAAAACTGGAGTTCTTTTATGATGACATTTTCAAGGAGCAGCTCCAACAAACCAAGATCATTTGTAATAGTGATAATTAGGGGAATGACCCCTGAGAAGGAATATGAGTAGTTAGTAATGAACGTATGTTCCACTCAGGCTTTGGAGAAAGTGTTATAAGGAAGTCAAAATTGGAGAAGCATCATTTTGCAGAGTCAGTGTAATTGCAGGCTGGGCTATCATTTCAGGAAATCGAAGCCTTCCTACCTAGGAACCACCTCCCAAGTAGTTACTCATCTTTTACATTTCCCTAAAATCTGACAACCCTTTCCACTTCAAGGACATAAACCTTAAAATATCATCTCTTTTGGACACATGATCTCCTGAGAGTTGGTCTGGTAAAAATGAGCCAGCTGGAGGGTGATCGGCTCCTCAGGTTGGGAGTAAGAGAGGGACGACAGGAGATGCTTGGAATTCTCAAAATGAACTTCATCTATTTTTTCTAATTTTGTGATTTGCTCACACAGGCTGAAGCATGTTTTTAGTTCTTAGAAACTCGATTCTCTAATGAGAATTATCATCTTCTCACTGGGGAACCAAATAGTAAAATTGCACCCAAGTACCTGCCTGGTGGGGAAGGAATTTTAAGGTGGAGCTCAGCTCTCTGGGCATTGTCTGGATAACGCTTTTCTTTCTCTTCTCTGTGGACACACAGGTGGCCCTGGTGACTGAGATGGCATCGTCTCTAAAGATCTGGGGCACACTCTTGGCCCTGCTTTGCATCCTATGCACACTGCTTGTAGAGAGCAAGGAAGTTTCTTGGAGAGAATTCATGAAACTGCACTACTTAAGTCCAAGTAGAGAATTCAAAGAGTACAAATGTGATGTCCTCATGAGAGAAAATGAAGCTCTGAAAGACAAGAGCTCTCACATGTTTATCTATATCTCATGGTACAAAATCGAGCAAATATGCACTAGTGACAACTGGATGGATCGCTTCCGAAATGCATATGTATGGGTCCAGAATCCTCTCAAAGTACTCAAGTGTCACCAGGAGAACTCCAAAAATAGCTACACAGAGAGCAGGAGCTTCAACTACATTGAATTCCATTGTAGCATGGATGGGTATGTTGATAGGATAGAAGACCTAAAGATGATAGAACCTATCAGCAACTAGAAAGTCTTTGCACATCCTTAGGTATTGGTAGAATATTCAGTGCTTTCTAAGTAGCGGCCCCTGCCTCCATCAATAGCCCCTACCACTCCCCACTTGCATTTATTTGTCAATGTTTTCCAAATACTTAGAGTTATGAATAGCATAATTTCTTGATACCATAACCTTGCCTGTGTTGTTTCTCTGCCTGGAATACACTTTTGTCTTCATTTACCTAATTTACTCTTGCACTTTTGTCAACATTCAGCTCATATGGCATCTGTTCTTGACTAACCTAAGACTTCCTGATATTGCCTCTCTTGATACACACCCAAGCTGAACAATCTTCCCTTCCCTAAATAAATTATATGATTCCAATGTGTGTGACATTCATATATGTTATGTGCACGGAGTAAGTATTGTGTGATTGATATGGGTGTGTGTGATCTAGACAGTGCATGCGATTGATGCTGTGCAAGGGATTTAAGGTATATTTTATGGGTGTATGTCTAATGTATGTAATATGTTTCTGTATATGATGGTGGTGTAAATGATTGTGTGCTTAGTTCAATACAAGTTGTGATGTAGGCATTGATTGCAGCATCAATTTGAAATAATCAAAAGTGTCAGAATCCAGTTTTAAAGAGTTGATTCAAGCAAAAGGCTAGGAGTGGCCATTCAGTGACACACAGACTCCACAGAAATGGGTTCAGTGCTCCAAAGCTGAAAATTAAGTTCTTGCTTATGTAGGAAAAAGACAAAAGAATTCAACAGAATTACAACAATTTCTATACCAGCTGGTTTAAGAGTTACAACAAATTAATTCGTTACAGTTTGTCCCTGACTTCAAGTCTTCTTTTCTTTTCTTTATAGCTTGTTTTCACTTCCTTTTCAATTTAAAAGAGTGTTTTTAACATTCCGTCTTAATGTGATAGTGATGAAGTCTTTCTAAGAGGAGAGGGAAGTTACTCTATAATGAAGACCAACAGTGGAGAGGAAAGGAGTCTTCTCCTGTACCCTTCGGTAAATTACAACATTTCACCAAACAATGCAGGCAAGAAAGAAGGTTTAATCTATAAACAGAGAAACCATGGTTACAGCTGCCTTGGTTACAGTGGCCTGGCATGTGGCTGAGGCCCCAAAATCACATTTCTTTAAGGTTAAAAATAATTTAGAGTTCCAACAACTGAGTTGTTAAATTACTTATTTTCACAGTGGTGACATGTTTTAGTTCCATTCAGATTTTGGGGCACTGGCAGAGCTCACTGGGTGTAAAACACGTAGCATGGTTTCTTGCTTATAGTAGGTGCTCAGTGAAAATTGCTTCGTTTCTCAACTCATTCTTTGGCTTAGTACTTTCATTTTGACTTTGATAAACAAACATAACAAATGCTCATCAATCATTTGCTCTCCCTAACTCTAGAGATGGGGATTTACACAATAAAAATACATGCTGGATATGTTGGCTCACACCTGTAATCCTAGCACTTTGAGAGGCTGAGGCGGGTGGTCAGGAGTTTGAGGTCAAGAGTTTGCCATTTGAGGTCAGGAGTTTGAGACCAGCTTGACCAACATGGTGAAACCCTGTCTCTACTAAAAATACAAAAAATGAGCCAAGTGTGGTGGCACATATCTGTAATCTTAGCTACTCAGGAGGCTGAGGCAAGAGAATCACGTGAACCCGGGAGGTGGAGGCTACAGTAAGTTGAGATGGTGCCACTGCACTCCAGCCTGGGTGACGGAACCAAAGCATCTCAAAAAATAAAAACAAATAAGCAAACAAAAATTACAGCAGGCCATCATCTGTGAGGACTGAATTCTGACCTTTTTTTTCTCTCTTGCTCAAATTCCTATCTAAGGGCCTTGGAGAATCACACCCTGAAAACCATAAAATATTATTAAGTGGGTTTTATTTAACTCTGTATAATTCATGTTTATACCCAGTCAGTTCTGCCAATACCCCCAAATCTGAGTGGAACTAAAGCATATCACCACTGTGAAAATAAGTAATTTAATGTGGCTTACTTTCCAACCTGACTCTGCCATAACATCACATGACAGATAAAGAAATCAAAATATTTTATCCCAAAATATTTTTTGCCTTATTTTGAAAAATGGCCCTGCAAAGCCATCTTCTGTGGGGAAAAGTTGCATCTGTAAGGAATCTCTATTAACATAATCAGATCTTTCCCCTTCCAGGCCCTCCCAATCCTGAAGAGATTAACTGAGAGTCTAGCACCTTTTAAAGGTCTGAATAGGAAACATTTGCCATCTATTGTCTCTAAGGGTAGCCACCTATGAGACTTCATCTACATAATAAGAACCTTGGTCTCCACCATCCTTTATTTTAACTTAGACACTCCTATCTATTGAGTCTAGGTTTTTCAATAATAACAATTATTTCAAACAATTGCCTATCAAAACATCTTTGAATTCAACTAATTCCTGTAAGCCCTTGCTTCAAGTTGTCCTGCCTTTCTGGACTGAACCAATGTATATATCACCTATATTGACTGATATATCTCCCTAAAAGCTATACAACCAAACTGTAAACCAATCACCTTGGGCACATGTTCTCAGGTCCTCCTGAGACTATGCCTCAGGGCCATGGTCACTCACATTTGGCTCATAGTAAACCTTTTTAAATGTTTTATGGAGTTTGACTTTTTTTGTTGACATTTGTATGGAGGCTATACATTCCTAGGATTTAAAAAAAAGGAACTCCTCTTTTATCAACCACAGACCTACAGATGTCCCTACTGGACTCAATTCATTACGAATGTTTCTGCCGGGCGTGGTGGCTCATACCTGTAATCCCAGCACTTTGGGAGGCCAAGGTGGGAGGATCATGAAGTCAGGAGTTTGAGACCAGCCTGGCCAACATAGTGAAACCCCATCTCTACTAAAAATACAAAAAATTAGCCAGTCATGGTGGCAGGTGCCTGTAATCCCAGCTACTTGGGAGGCTGAGGCAGGAGACTCACTTGAACCTAGGAGGTGGAGGTTGCAGTGAGTTGAGATCGTGCCATTGCACTCCAGCCTGGGTGACAGTGAGAGACTCTGTCTCCAAAAAAA